AAAGGAAGGGGAGTCCAACGACATTATTACGAGTTTTAAAAGAAAAATAATAATGAGATTATCTTCATTCGCGATTCGAAAACTGATTCGACTTCCCATTTTTTCTCTGAGTGAATTTATATTTATATACCTTCCAGCCCTTCCTTCTTCTTCCTTCTGTCTGTGGGAACATCTGGAATTTGGAGACTGAGAGAGCTGGAGCCTAGGAAATTGCCCAACAAAATTGGCTCTGAGTTGCACACCGAATCCTCGACTACAGTTCTTTGTGTTGGTGCAGCTGCAAAAGTGAAATCAGCAAATGACAACACTTCAGAAAGAGTAAATAGAAGGGGGACAGACGTGATTAATGTAAAGTTGTTAACGCGATAAACTGAATATGTACATATATGTATGTCCAGCTGCACAGGATCAGCCGCGTTTCTCCGTTCGTCTGTCAAGAATTTATACTATGTATATACGTACTGTCTTACACTGCTATAACAATCTCACATGATATTTTACCATACCCTTCCCGAATACGTGACGTGATCAGATCGAGAGACCCTCTAGCTGCGTGGGAGGAGGAGAGCAGGGTAAACACTAAACTAATTTGCTTGTCCATAAAGTCTGTTTTTTGGCAAACTGTGCTTGGATTGTTTATCCAATTTATGGCATTATTTATTTTGTTTATGCATTCTCAGCTTTTTGCTGCACTTAATGAACAACAGGCGATGGTCTGGCCCGAGCCGCTTTGTTTACACTTGGCATTAAGACTGGAAAAACAAAGGGAAATATCTAAAACTTTTAGTATGAAGAAAAAAGTACTCGGGTGTGGCAGAAAAAAATTACAATCTTGATCTACAAATGAAGATCATAAAAACTTCGTAATTAAGATGAATGCGTGAGGAGATGGGGCTGGAGCTGAGACCAAGCATGACTTCATGCTGAACCGCCTCCGAGTGGCATCCGCAGATAAAAAGCAACAAAATATAGCTGTATACAAGAAATGTTTAGCTGGCAACGAAATACGGACAGCTCACAAACACATGGACACATGCTTAACTTAACTAAAGTGGATACGCACACATGCATCGCATATACATGCTCTATATTGGATATATATGTACATACATATGTACTACTCGTACTCGCTGTGCACTTCATAAACAATTGGCTGGCCTACATCATGTACTCGCACAACACACAACAAAAGATTTGAGGGGGGTGTGTGTGGAGTGGGAGAAGTGGGGGGGATGTCAGTCAGTGCCCCGCACGTTTCGATAATTTCGAATAATTTAATTAAGCCCAGACGAGGCGGCAGTACTGGGACTTTCACGATTCTCCCCGGAACTTCCAAAAGCCCTGAAAAAGGCAAGATTTCCAAAAAAAATTAATTAAAGACCACTTTGATTTAGCACCCCTTTTGGGACTACGCCCTTGTGCCCCGCTAAAAGTAGAAAACGAATAAACAAAAGCTTTGTGGGCGGAGCCAGATCGGCAAACGAATGAATCCAGCCAACGATTTAGGTGGTAGTCGTATATGGGGAGGGAGGGAAACTGAGACCTGGTCGCTCGACTGTCCACATATCGCCTAATCGATGGATTATTTAATTGTAATTGGTAATAAAAAATGCAAATTCAGCTCTCGGTACATGTGTAATGTGGTATGTGAGGACGGAAGCACTCGACGCCCAAAGTCCATGCAAATGAAGCGAGGCTTGGATTACTCCCGAACCCGATTGGGTAAACATGGAACTGGACTCCGTTTACTGCTGTTGCACACTATCTGAGGGGATCGACTGACGGTCAGCCACGATTATTTCGTTTATTTCTTATTTATTTTCTTTTCTTGAAAGAAACAATAGACACTTGAGAAAACGAGCCACCTTCGGCGTTTCCTTTTAGGGCATCAAAAAAGTGATCGTGACCATTGCCGGCCCACATTCGAAAATCGTTTTTCAAAAACTCTCGTTCGTTCTGGCGATGATGTCACAGTTTGAGTGTTAATTCAAAATTTTAATCATTTATCAAATGCAATTCAATCAATTTATTAGCTGCCGGCGACGTCATTAAAACAAAGGAGGATTTTTTTATTATATTTTTGTTGCTTTCGCCGTGGGCGCCGTTTTTCTGCAGTTTTTTAACCTTGATTTGACGTTAAAATGTTTTAAAACTTGTTTTCACTGCCGCTGTTGCTGCTGTTGAGTGGGCTGGAAGTGAGCTGATATTTGCAACTGCGGTTTTACTCATTCCTTTTTTTTCTTCATTACACACATGATTCATTCACAGTAACTAATAATAAATTAAAATCTCTCCGCGACTCATCGTCGGCGCATTCAGAGCTTAAGCCATGTCACAGCATCACTCAGTCCTAATTTACATAACCGATGGATATGATTCATTGATTTGGTTTTTGGAAACACCTCAGGGGTTTTTCGAAATTCGGTTTTTCAATAATATTCAAAAACTCTTAACTATATTCAAAAATATCTTAACGCACGTTACTTTCTTCTTGAAAATCCACTGAACGAATGAAGCATTGAGCACTTGGCGGGCGTCTAAATAAAACGGCTGCGCTTTTCGATCGATACACATGCTATCGATAGTCGGACACCAGCTGATCAGCTTTCATTTCGATCACGAGTGCGCCACTGTGCGCCGCATCGAAAAAATACCTTAACATACCTTAGGGGTTGTTCATTATTTAAAAAAAAAAAACGAGGGGGAACGTTGTGAGTTGCTGCGGACACCGCAACTCTACAGTTATACCCGATACTTAGTCAGTATGGCTCTCCTCCGGCAGACGCCGCTAATATTAAACGACACGACAAAGAGTGCGTGCGAGAGAGACAGAAAATCAGTCTGAGCGTGACGTCGGGCGCTGCGTAGCCACTGCAAATTGATTTGTTCCTTTTGGCTATAAAAATTATCTGATCTGATCCAAATTCAGCAATCTGATAGATCATTATCTATGATTCTGCGGTTTTAGTTTTCTCAAATCTGCAATATGTGGATGCAACAACTACAATATTGTGGATGCAACGCCCCCGCAAAGAACGAAAATGTGGAGAATCCACAAATCTCAGAAACTATTAAGGCTAGAGTAACCAAATTTGATATCCTTACTCCTGTTAGATCTCACTATAAAACGTATATCTCAAAAAATCGCCCTACCCCCTTCCGCCCCAACAAAGGACGAAAAACTGTTGCATCCCCAATATTGCAGATTTGAGAAAACTAAAAATGCACAATCATAGAGAATGACCATATCTATTGACCAGATTGCTGAATCTGGACCAGATCGGATCATTTTTGTAGCCAAAACAAATCTATTTGCAGTGGCTACGCAGCGCCCGACGTCAGACTGATTTTCTGTCTCTCTCGCACGCACTCTTTGTCGGAGAGCAATACTGACTAAGTATCGGGTATAAATGTAGAGTTGCGGTCTCCGCGGCAACTCACAACGTTCCGCCTCGTTTATTTGAAAAACGCGATGGAAAAGCTTTGAAACTTTTAAAATCTAAATATTTGAGTATAAGGTAACTATAATTTGAATTCTCCGCAGCGGAGTAAGGAAATAACAGAAATTTTAGCCATGTTCAGAAAAGCTCTTTCCGTAATATAGTATCCCACAAAAATATCCTGAATGAATGATGAATAAATTGTGCACCGTAAAAACCCATATCATATGTACTAACAGTGTCCTTTAATAAGTATATTGTAACGTATACAACTCATGAATATTTGTACCAAGGAAACTATGGTTAAAACACCTCTAAAGGTTCATTGGGGTGACGAACATAATAAGAAGTGCTAGCTCTTTAATAGAATAAGTATGTACGTATTTTGAGGCTGCAGAATAGCTGGCAGACTTCATTTGGAAACAAAGAGGCCATTCCGAACTAGTTCGATGAGTCCCAGCTTTTGGGAGGACCAGTAAAGCAAACCCGTCATGATTAGCGTCTTGCAAATGCGATCCAGGACATACATGCTAGAATTTGGATGGTTATAAGCGTTACGTAAAAAAAGAGAATATTCATTTCAGGAAATACTAACAATCTCAGCTGTATGCGCGACTTGGGCAAGGAGGTGAGAGGCTCCTTCATCACATACTGGCGCCCGCCCAAAATGCTCTGTTTCATGTACTCATAGTCGTCCACATCGTTGCTGTTGATCTTGAAGCTAATGGAGATCATATTAGCGTGATCAAAAAGTAAAGGTGTTATTTGTGTGGCTTACATTTGTCGATCTGTTTCATCCAATTCCTGATAAATCTGCTCAAAATGCGTGGACTTGAAGTCCCAGTTGCGCGTGGTAAAGAATTGGAGCACCTCCAGACCCATAGAGACCTTCGTCTGTACTCGGACCATGCTAAACGAAGAGTAACAGTGAGTAACCTTCCACACCATCTGGAGTGGGATATGAATCTCTTACAAGCGACGCTGTCCGAAAATAAGGAGCAGAAAGTCGATGATATAGGCTGGCAGCCACATGAACATGATGGTGCAGAAGGTGTGGTACAATTTGCTGGAGGTTATGTTACCATCCGGATACCAGAGCCCCACCTCGAAGGGGTACTTCTTGCCGAGATCACGGCCCACGTCCATGATCCATTTCCAGGTGCGTTTTTTGGCATCATCCACCGTCAAATTGTAGACTGGTATCTGAAGGGACCTGTGATTAAGGTTAATAACCGATCCGTTTTGTATTTCAGGATTCCCTTCAGACTTACCTCTTCTCCACGAAACTGTTGTGGTAAGGCAGCAAAATCAACCCGTTTATGGCTATATCCACTGGAATAACCTCCGATCTCAGTTCGCCATTACAGATCATGGATCGGATAACGCCCTTGCCGGCTCCTATGAGCACACCAGTGGGTCCGTTCATGTTGTCCACCCAACCTGGCAGGGGCTCAGCCACAGCCGGCGTTACTGGTAGAACAGAAAATATTTCAAGTATTCGAAAGAATTCGGACCTTAAGATTATCGATAGAAGGGCAAGGAGAGCAAAACAACGTTGAATGGAGATAGATGTATGTACAACAACCTAGAATCATTTTTATTTGGAATCATAACCTCGAATATGCGTAACTATGACTAAGATTTTTGACTAAGTAAATGCCTGTGACCACCAAACCAATGAGTATCCAGAATCCTTGGTCTCAAAACAGAGCCAGCACCCCTGTCCACTTGAGGACATAGTAAAGGAACAGGCCCACAATGAGGGTCTTGCACACGACATCCACTACATATTGACTGAGAAAGGAGAGAAAAGTCAGAGTTATATGGCGTTTACTGTCTGTGGAGGATCACTCACATCTTCATGTGCAGACGAGCAGAGGGTATGTCTTCCTCCTTCTCCTTTAGGATGAATTTACGAGCTCCGAGGGCACACTGCTCCATGTAGTCGTCTTCGGTCTCCTTGACGTTCATGTTCATGTTGAATCTGGCAAAGGAATGAAGATTAGCACCGAATTAGATATGGAACCTTAGTACTTACATCGCCTTGTCCTCCTCGTTGAGTTTGTTCCACAACGAGCAATATAATTCGGAGCGGAAGGACCAGGCAGTGAGGGTGAAGAACTGAAGTACGCCCAGGCCCGTGGAGATTTTCTGCTGCACTCTCACCATGCTAAAGGAAGAACAGATTCAGTCAGTTGTTACAGAAGATGGCAAATACAACTACTTACAATCTCTTCTGGCCAAACAAGAGCAGAAGGAAGTCGAGGAAGTAGGCGGGCAGCCAGTGGAAGAGCGCCACATTAATATTGTGATAAAATCTGTTGGTGGTTACGCAGGGGTCCGGATACCAAAGGCCTGCGTTGAGGGGTATCTGCCTGTTGATGCGCTTGCTCAGCTCCACCACGGTGCCCATGGTCATCTTCCTGTGATCCGCATTGGTGATGTTGTAGACGGGCACCTGGGACGGGCGCTTGGCCTGCTTGTTGAACTCGTAGGGGATCACAATCAGGCCGTTGATGGCATAGTCGACGGGTATGACCTCTGCCTTGTACTCCTGATTGACCAGCACGGATCGGATGACGCCCTTGCCGCAGCCGATCATCAGACCGGTGGGTCCATTCATATTGTCCACCCAACCGGGAATTGGCTCATAGGCAGCGGGCGAGACTGGGGGAAGAGCCGAAGGAGTCCGATTAGAGGGCGAGTGGAGTATGGAGATTCCAAGTGATTGATTGACTCTACATACCACGAAAGCCCCGGATGATGGTCACCGAAGCCGTATTAAGTGTGTGAGTTTGTGTTTGTGGGTAAGTGTGAATGGATGCCATGAATGGAGGAATGAATAATGAGTGGATGAATAGATATGTATAGTTCGTTTGTATAATTGTGTAGAATGGGAAAGACTGTGTGGGGATCTGTGAGTCTGTTTTTGTGGGGATCGATCGTGTAGTTCGTTTTGTGTTGTTTGTGTTGTCTGTGTTGTCTCTGGAGCGGATGGTCCTCAGCACTGGATCAACACTTGGACACTTGGAACACACATACACACACATAACACATATGTATAATTTGTTGTATTTTTTTTTGTGCTTTGATTTTTGTTTTATTTCACATGAAACATAAAAGATCACTTAAACTAGAAATGATAACCAGATTCGAGGTTCGAGTACCCCGAAAGTAGTGCCCCAAAGCGAACCTAAGCAAAGATTGAGATTGATTTGATTGAGGAATGCGCGCAAATGAATTGGGAATTGTTCCGACCGAGTCCGAGCCAAAGTCGGAGTCGGAGGCCACCACCTTAGACGCCCAAGAGACGTGCCACCACACCGTAGGTCCAGTAGCACAGGGAGCCCACGATGACCGTCTTGCACAAGCGGTCCAAGATGTACATGCTAAAATTGAAAGAGATCAGAGTTCTGGGGAACTAGATTCTATGGTAGGTTTTTGGGGGACGGGCTCTCTTACAGCTTCAGCTGGAGCCGTGCACGGGGCAGGCTGTCGGGGGACTCCTTCATCAGATACTGCCGCCCGCCCTGGACACACGACTCGATGTACATGGGCACAGTCTCAACGGGGTCCATGTCCATGTTGAAGCTTTTGAGTGTGAATCACATTTAGTCAACTTCAGCCAACACTTGCCAATCCGTACTCTTCCTGTACATACTTTTTCTTGTCCTCGTCGTTCATGATGTTCCAGAGGGACGAGTAGGCGTCCGATTTGAAGAACCAGGCCCTCATCGTAAAGAACTGCAGCACCTCGAGACCCACAGCGATGCGGGTCTGGAGGCGGACCATACTAGGCGGAGGGAGAAACTGTCAGGCCAGGCTTGATTCGGCGACGTCTGCGGCTTCGGAGGAACTTACAATCTCTTCTGGCCAAGCAGGAGCAGCACAAAGTCGATGAAGTAAGCGGGCAACCAGTGGAAGAGAAGCACGTTGATGTTATGGTGCAGTTTGTTGGTGGTGATGCACCCGTCCGGATACCAGAGTCCCGCCTCAAATGGGTAGCGGTAGCCAATATCTTTGCTCATCTCGATCACGTCGCCCCACTGCATCTTTCGGTGGTCGGCGCACGTGATGTTGTAGACGGGCACCTCCGCGGGCTTCTCCTTTAGCCCCGCGAACTGGTAGGGGATCACGCATAGCCCATTGATGGCATAGTCCACCGGTATCACCTCCGAGAGAAAGCGCGTGTCGATCAGCATGGAGCGGATGACGCCCTTGCCAGCGCCCACTATCAGGCCGGTTGGTCCGTTCAGATTGTCCACCCATCCGGGCACGGGCTCGTAGGCCGACGGCGACACTGATGCAGTGAACGGTGGTAATCAGTCTGGACTGGGATACGGGGATTCCGAGCAATTTGTATGCGTGCTGTGTTGTTTTATCGCTCAGAAAACAGGAGCCGAAGGCGGAGGCGGAGGCGGAGGCAGAGTCTTGGGCTGGGTCTTGAACTGAGCCAAAGGCATGGCTGTGGGATGGCAGCGTGATCAGGCGGGGGGTAAGCGAGGCGGATTGTAGTTGTTGTTTGCATTGCATGCTCATTGAACTTTTTGGTCAATGACGACGGCGTTTGTGTGCTGTAGTTTTTGTTGTTTAAGCAATGTTTTATGCCATGCCATGTAATTTAACTTTTTCTTTTTGGTTTTTGGTTTTTGTTTAAGCGCTGTTGTTTGCTGTTGTTTCTGTATTTGTTGCCGTTTAGACACATTGGTATTTGTTGCTGATTTTGTTGTAGTTTTCTTACAGTGAAGCTTGTCAGCTGAAGGAAAATCTTCAGCGGTGGCGGTGGTGGAGGAGGCGTAAGCACAATGGGCGGCAAGTGGAGGACAGGAGCGGAACGAGGTTGGGTTGTCATAAAACAAACACACACACACACACGAAAAGCATAAAAAAAAACACTTGACCAATTAGCAGAAGGCAGCAAGAAGCAGCATAGATGTAGCCCCTAAATAGCCCGACCAACCCTGGCCACTCCCTTTTCGCCCTCACCCTCACCCACCCCATCCATTCGGATGCTCGGCTGCTCGGCCATTTATCACCATGGATCCGCTAAAAAGCTGTCGTTTTCGACGAACTTTGCCATGTGGCCAGTTGATTAGCAATTGAAGACAATATTGACAATGTTTATGGGGTATCTGCCGAGCTAAGGCGGTCTTCAATGCCTTGAACCCAATCGGACATACTCACAGATGGAGACAGATTCTAGACAGGGGCGTAACAGCTTGGCATATGCCAACAATCGCGGGCCAATACCCGTTGATTACCTCGTTGTAAAGAGGGTACTCCTATCGAAATGGGTCTTTCAACCAGTTAAAGTTGATCATAAACGTCATTGAAACGCGTTTCCGTAGATTAGTTGAACTTTGGCTAGTAGTTTTATAGTTTTTCCATACATCTAATCGGAATATACAAATGTACGAGACATACATGCATGCATACATACATATCCATATACGTATATAAATCGATCTATGAATAAACTATAGTACGTTTTGTAACCGATCTAGCAGATAATGGTTTGATGCGTTTGATTAAAGATAATAATACTGGCATCCTCTGAATGGATTTTTATTTACTAGGAATTTGTACGTAATGCATTTTGTATATATATATTCGCAAATGGGTATTTCAAAACTAAAGATTTTCCTCTATAATGCATTTCCTTGTCGTCGCTTCTCCCATGGATCCATGGATATACAACAACTATCTATCAAGATTGCCAAAATTCGTAATTGAAAAATGTAATTGACAGACAAAAATCGTAAAGTTTGCAAAGGCATTCAAAAAATCACCAGGTGGCCAGAGAAATACATAAGCAAATGGCCAGGGCTCCATAGCAATAGCCATAGACATAGACCCCAGACATGAACATAGACACAAGCCAAGTTAAGCGGAGGCGCATGATTTGTTAGCAGCAGGAGCAGCGGTGGCAGCTGGCGGCGGAGGCCAGACTACAGATTCCCAGTTTCCATTTCGATGGCAGCCCCCAGGCAGAGCCATAGACATGGGAAATTAATGACATAAATAAATCTAATAAAGCTGGAAGCCAAAGCAACATAGAGAGGCCACCACGGATAGATGTAGCGGGAAGGAGCCGTATTGGTAGCCAAAAAGGTCACTTACCGATGCTGGGGCGGGCGATAATCACCGGCATGCTCTCGTAGTGGTCGCGCACTAGGATCTCGGCCAGGCGCTTCGAGTAGGTGTAGGTATTTGGGTGCGGCTTGAGAAGATCAGGGGTGATGGTGTCGAGGGTCTTCACATCCATCCACTCGGCCATGCGAATGAGATCTTCGGGCTTGTGGGGGAACTCGTAGACCTTCTCGTACATCACCTCCTGATCGCAGTTGCAGAAGGCAGTCGACAGGTGGATAAAGGCCTCCAGGTTCTTCATTTGCTTGGCCACTGCCAGGGCGCGCTTGGTGCCCACAAGATTCATGTCGATGGCGTCGCGCAGGTTGCCCTCCAGCTTGAGGGTGGCCGCCATATGGAACACGATGTTGGTGTTCTCGGTCACATGCTTCAAGCTGTCTCCGCTCAGACCCAGCACTGCAAGTAAACAGAAGATGTGAATGTGGATGTGGACGCAGGATGCAGGATGCAGCTTAGACCTTACAATCAAAGGTAACGTCGCCCTGGTAGATGGTCACCTTCTTGAGCATGTGGGGGCGCTCATCCTTGATGCGCTGGAAGATGGGCAGCTTGTACATCTCCTCCAGACGCGTCTCTGCGGTCTTGCCCCGCTTCGGACGGCAGATGATGATCACCTCCTTGAGCGAGTGGCAGGAGTAGAGGAGCTTCTCCAGCAGCACCTTGCCCATGAACCCCGACGCTCCAGTAATGAAGATCGTCTTGTCCTTGTAGTACTCCTGCACGGGCGATAGATCCACCGTCATCTTGCTGCAACAAAGAGAGTGGATCGGGTATTAGCACACTGGATAGCCTATTATTGTGTGGACGATGAGGCTGTTGCAAGAAGCATTCCGGGAAGGCAAAAACCAGTCAAAGGAAACCCGCAATCGCCTCGCGGAGTGTCGCAAGCAGCAGCTGGAAAAACTGGGGCTAATTCTGTGATTCGGTGCCCGACTGCGGCACGCGTGCCTGTCTTGCCACAAACAACCTGCTGCAAACGCTGCAAACGGGTTTCGGATTGGACTTTCGGTTTCTATTTGGATTTTCGATTGCGCCTGCACTGTGGATTCGCATTTCTTTGCGGCATTATGCAATGGCCAGGGGGAACAGGCAGTGGTTTCCATATCGCCCCCACTCCAGACCGCCCCGACGGAGTCGGGGACTGTTGCAAGTCGGCGTTGCCCAATCTGAATTTGGCATGGATTGCAGCCGCGTTACACTTGGCCACATCTGGCTGTGTCTCCGCCTCTGGGCGATCTCCGCCTGATCTCTGAGCACGCCTTGCACTTTGGCCATGTCATGACATTTCATGCAACACCGAGCGGACTTTTGTTTGTTTGCCATCCGCCCAAGCATAACATAACCCATAACCATATCCATATCCACATCCAAATCTGTATCACCATCTGTATCTGTATCCCCTTCAAGCTAAGTGTTTAGGGTAACTCTTTAGCAAAAATTGCAATGAAAGCATGACACTGCACCTCTGCACTACTACACCTTGAACTACGCGCTCGAGGCAGAGCTAAGGCTGAGCCACAGCCAGAGGCTGAGGCTGAGGCTGAGAGACAGGTGCTAGAGATGGAGATGGAGCTGCGACGTCGGCTGTGGCTGTGGCTGTGGCTGTGGTTGACGCTGACGCTGGAACTTGGCTAAGCGGCAAATTGCGGTTCTCCTTCATCACTTAGCGCCTTTAGGGGGCTTGTTACCTAGCCTCAGTTTCGGGGTTTATTGCCAATTAAAACGCGTCTGCCGAATGTGTGAAGCCAGCAAGAGCAGCCAGCCAACAGCAGCAGCTGTGGCCTGCAACTTATGCAAGCATCGAAGCACACATTGAGCCAAATTTCGAGACCCACAAATAGAGCCAGCCAGGTCGTCCAAGTTGACAAAGCCGAAATCATAAGCATAACACACAAGCTCTAGCTAAAACAACGAAGCTCCGTCGAACTGACAGCAAACAAATAACTTGGGCAACGAACTTGAGAGCGATGCTGATACACTTGAAAGAAAGCCGCGAAAATGAGCGGAAATAGCATGGAAGGAAGCAACATTTAACTGAAGTTTCCACTTTTGCCACATTTTGGCACAAACACATGGTTAATTTATTGAAAATTTCCACTTTGACTAAAGGAAAAGCAGATAGCTAATTGAGAAAAGCTCTAGAACCCATTGGGGCTGCAAAGTCTTGGAAGCACAGAATATTTAAGAATTTTAAATTATGCCGAAAATCTTTTGTAGCTTAAGTTTTTACAATACTTGATAAACTTGAAGGTAAAGAAATTTTTGGTATCTTTCTAATATTTCAATATATTAATCACCGGATGATACTGGTTTCCAGCTAAGACATCCCAAAGGATTTTTTGTTCGCAAGCTTGGATCTCAAGATCCACTTAGTTGACGCACATCTTGTAATGTTTTTAAAACAACTGACCCTATTAAAAGCGAAAATATCATTATAAATGTATGCCATTCGGATTCCCTCCTCCAGTTTGTCATATTTTCATAAGAGCTTCCCAAACCGGTTAGGTTAGGCATTCATTTGTAAGTAGAAACATTTTCGAATCTTTGATTAGCTTTGGGTGTGTGTGTATGTGTGTGTGTGTGTGTGTGAGAGTGTGGTTGTCGGTCTGGCTTGGCTTCCTCTTGTTTGCATATTGCAAATGCTGAAATTGAAGTCGCATTTGTTGCTGCAACCCGATTGAGGCCTCAGAACTGGCTGGCGATGACAGATGGAGTGGGTCCATTAAAACGATCGAATGTGCATTACAGGTCTCCACTTTGTCTGTCTAGCCGTGTGATGTTGCAGCTAATAAGCCCAGCTAAATGAATGATTGACTGCCTGAATGGCTGACTTATTGACCTCTGGGCTAAGGCTATGACCTACTGAAGGCACGAAGTACGTCTGCCCTGAGCAGAAGAGCTCAGGTGGCGATCGTGAGTTTGTGTAGGATCATTAAGAAAACCACTTGAGGCTCTGGCATTAAACCATGAAATCGAACAAATTTTAAATGTTTGGCAATTCTTCCATTCCATTCCCCATTTGGCCTTTGGTGGCAGGTCTCACAAAAAGGCTGCCAGCACAAATAAAGAAAAAACCCCCCCTGAATATGTAAATTGCTTTTTGTATCGGATCAGCCATTGATACGAATGAGATGAAGCCAAGACGGGCATAAAATTAACAGAGCGACAACGCAACGCAACGTGTAAGCTCCAAATCAAATTTATGCAAAGGGCTCCCTCGCTCACGGAAGTACCCTGTCAAATGTGTATGTGCATAAAAAATAAATATTATAGACATTTTTTTGCCAGCCAGTGCGACAGTTCATGGCATGACCCTGACACACACACACACACACACACACACGATTATGACCAAGTATCTCTACAAGTCCGTCTCAGTAGAGCAGCCAGCTCGATTATACAAAGATGTTTATATAATCCCCAATTAAACGCTTCGCTGGGCAGGTAAATGTTTCGAATTGCTGCTGCTACTTCTGCTGCTGTCATTGCAGACCAATTGCCCCGAAAAGCGAAAGACAATACGTCAATCAAACGACCACTACGTACAACGAGAGGTAGGGTCCAAGAAAAACAAGCAAAATTATCCGCAGATAAACTGCAGAGTGAACAGAAGTGACCACCAAGGCGCTTGGTGGTGAATATTTTTGGTGCATTCAAGTGTTTCAATTACCTCTAGTGGTTGGGATTCTTCTCTTCAATTAAAACGCTTGCAATATCGTTGAAACAAACACGTCACACACGAACGCGATTCGGTGCGAGACTAGCGGATAGAGACTGCAGCGGAGTGACACAGTTCGGATCAAATCCAATCGAATCGAATCGGGTTCGGATTGAGGTGGAGACTGGAGAAGAGACTGGAGACGATGTGCACGCTACGACATTCGACAGAAGACTGAACGCGGCCAGGCCAATGCTTGCCAATATGAATGGGTCTCGGAGTGTGCTGGCCTGGGGGCTCTGCGGCTCGGCGGCTCTGGCCCAACTGGTTAAAGTTGAGGCACTCGCTCTGGGATGTGGCAAACCAAAGCAAAACATGGCCTGGGGGGAAGGTGTCTGTTGGTACAGAAACCTATATATCTATTAGTTTGGCCAATTTAGGCGGAACTGTCTCAGATCTTGGCTGTCCAAGTGCTGGGAAAGTGTTGCCTTTTGGCACTTAGTCGCGGCTAATACAAGCCCACATCCCAGGGCAAACGTAAACATATTTGATGGACAATTAGATGCGCAATTTGGCCGAGATTTTATTGGCTTTGCAGTATTGCTTGAACTCTGACGCGGGCTCTAGATAAATTTGCATGCATATTCGGGCCATTATAGATGAAAATTAGCCATGGACGGATTCGGTCGCCATTACGCAATGGCGACTGTTGCTGCTGTGATTTCCATTTTGCTGAAACTAATTAGGTGGTTATCAATCTCCTATGCAAATTGCTTTGTTTGCCAATATTGCGAATATACTTAATCAGTGCTTACGTTTTCCCCTGCTTTTAAAAATTGGCAAAAACATAAATTCAGCAAATTGTCAATATTGTTGCAGAAATGAAAATACATTCAATGAACAAATGACCAAAAAACCGTTACCACTGATGATTTAAATTTTTAAAAAACCGCCACATCCACATAGTAGTGCATGGTGAAGTACCACAAACACTCAAAATTTCCACAGAACTGTATTTACTGTAATATCGATTATATTCGATAGCATTTTTATTCAATTCGAACTTACGTTTTATAATATTAGAATCTGCACTATTCTGTCATGAAGGAAATTAATTCCTCCAAATCAAGCTTCTATTAAATTTTATTTTTAAAGGTATATTAGAGGTATATTTTATGTTACCGCGAAATTTGTAGAGAGAGCGTAAAAACACTCTGTTATTTATGCATTGCTTCTGATTTCTAAAGCTATGATGGATAAATTTGTATATGGAAATCACCAATCACTAATTATGGATATTAAATAAAAAAAGAGAATACAAATGTTTATACTTCATAATATATTGTTGATTTTAGCAAATGTGTAAAAAGGAGTACTCAGAACTAGTTGGTCTTGATTTATGTATGGGATACAATTTAACTAACCGAGTATAAAAATCGAGGACTATATCATTTCTGACCACGGACAGAGACGGATTAACCCATTGCTGACCAGTGGGCATCAAAATACATTTAACGAATATCATGAAACTTAAACAATTTTAGCGCAGCTCAAGGGAAAGGTATCGTGGTGTTTTTATAAGTAAAGAGGAAGGATAGGATGGATTTACAAAAGTAATTTACATACAGTTTCATTTTCCGCGGCTTAGCTCAAGTTTTTTTCCTGCTTATATTTAGGGGGGGTCAAGTGGGCTAAGCTCTTTATTTCATCGGTATATTTCGAAAATGAGACGGTATATTTCGCGGTATTTGTGAGAGTCAGACAGTATATTAAATCCGCGGCCACACTGTCCCCCAACTCAACGTGCTAAATTTTTGTTCCAAATTTTAATTGCAAAACATGGCCGAACTCGATGATTTTTTCGCGAAAAAGGATAAGAAGAAGTCCAAGAACAAGACCAAGTTTGTGACCGCCGACGAATTGGTCAAGAACTTGGAGGACAACACGAAACGGGAAGTGGTCAAGCCAAAAAAACCCGAACCAGTAGCAGCAGCTGCAGTAGTCGATGGCGGCGTGGCAGTAGTAGGCGAAAACGAGACCGACACCAAGGTGCCAGAGTCCGTAGCGGTAAGCCTGGTGAAATCATTTATGAAAAGAGTTAATTACATTACAATTGCTGTCGTTTGTTTTCGTGTGCAGCCCGTCGAAGAGGAATGGAATGAGATCGAGCCTGAGCAGCGCAAGGATTACAGCGGGCTGAAGATTGGCCAGCTGAGCGCAAAGTGAGTTTCTGTTCTGCTTGTGCATGTATGCGTATTCGTCCGATTAAGTGGACAATGGCAATCTTTGCAAGCTGCAGTCGCGTGATTCCAACCAGTGAACAACTTCTCCCCAGCTTAAACAGTGCTGAATCAGTCAAAATTGCATGCTAACCCCTTTTCTCCATGTCACAGCTCTGCCAGGGAGTCCGAGGAGGCTCGTGCAACACGAGTTGCAGCCGCAAACGACGCTGGCAACTACGAAGAAGACGACGATGATGATAGCAATGGTTATGAAAACGTGCAGGGCGGAAAGGGCGGTGGCGGCGGCGGCGGGAAGAAACCGTGGAAGAAACTTATACCAGCCGAGGAGGTTACGCAAATCCCAGTGCCGGTGGAGGTTGAAAAGTCATCCTCAAAGCCCTATGTTTCACCCGCGTTACGTTACAGCGTAAGTAGCGATACCTTAACCCATTGATCATTAATCAATATAACATTGTACCTTTTACCTTTGCAATTGGAATATGCAGCAAATCAGTGGACTTGGAAGTGGTATTGGCGGCGGATCGCGTGCACGACGCACTGCTCCGGACATCACCAATACGGAGTTCTTCCCGACGCTCAGTGCAGCGCGCCCGGAGGAACAGCGAAAGAAGAAAAACGAACCCGCCTTCGAAGAAGTCCGTCACGGCGGACGCTTTCAGCGTGTCCAGGAGCCGACATCCGCACCCGTGGCGGCTACCAATCGATTCCAGTCGCTGGACGATGAAGCGGATAGCTAGGTGCCAGCTCCAGTCGACGCTGTTGCTACCCCAAGAAACCGTTTTCTACCACTGTGTGTCCACTGCTGAGCTCGCCGCTGCAATCGGCAGCAAGTCATTTACAAGTTTGTAGTGTACGCACGCATATGTCAACTTTTTCTAGGCTTTTTGATTCATCTTTGCCACCTCCTGCTACTGCTACTCCTATCCCTATACCACATACACTATTGTTCATTTCGTTTTGCATTTTTGAAGTATGGAGTCAATGTAATAGAATATGAATAATAGCCATGCGTTGAAATCCGTTTATAAACGTTACTTTTGTATAACCTCGCGGGTCTCGTTTTGTGTTAATCATCATCGACAAGATCTTCCGGACGGCTGTCCGCATAGCTGCAAGAGAGTGCACATCAGTAAGATAGATCGTCTTTGGCCGAAATGGCGGGATCCCGCACTGACTTCTCACTGTACGGCTGCTCGGGTGTATTGTGGTACGCACTCAGTTGCGGCTTGGCCAGCATCTTCACCGGAAATTGCCGTATTAGGTATAGCCAGCACTGCAAATTTCTGCAACAAACACAGACAGGAATGACGTCAATGAAACATTCGTGTGACCAGATTCTTACCCCTCTGTCTCCGTCCGTATGGTCTGTTCCTCACGATCGTAGTAGTTTGGGTAGTCCTCCAGCTGGTCCAACTTTGAGAACATGGCCTCGTCCACCTCATAGATCTCGCCGTGTATGTTGTGGCCATCGCCGGGCCAGGCCAAAAGGAATGGAATGTTGTACCGGGTACCGACAACCAGTGGAAACTTCACTGCCGTTGTCCCACGCCCCAGAAATTGCGCCTGGCCGTTCTCCTTTTTTGTTAGCCAGTGATGGTTCGGCTCACCGCTCTTTAGCGTGCCATAGACAAAGACTCTCGCGGACATTTTTAGCATTACAAGTGCGCCTATCCGCTGTGCTTATCAGTTGCGCGGGTTATCTTGTTCATATATCTCGCACCAAAAGTTTGTCAAGTCGCCGCAACCCGTTCGCTCTTCTTCTTGTTGGCATTCGTTTGCCATTCACCCCGCGACTTGTTGCCGTGCACTGGGAGAAATCGGCGTAATCGAATGGGTGGCAAGTGGAAAATTACTGTGTTGACCCATATCATGTCTATATATATGTTTATATAACATCAGTCATTAAATTTACTTTGAATTGCTTCAGTTTTATTTTCTATTGTTTGTCGAAAATATAATATAATATTACAAACTACGGTTGCTAAAATCTAATTAATTTAATGCGTACAGTGTATATATCATTTTCCCATAGTATATATATGTTTGTGTATATCAATCTGTTATGTCTGCATCCCCAGGGGAAATCAATGTTGTACGGACTACAAATGCAACTACCGGTAACATTATATAATAAATTGGACAGGCTTCCCAGAGCACATCCAAGAGGAAAACCGTTTAGTTTTGGGCCTCATAGCTGAGATCGTCCTGAGCCGGATGCTTGTGGGTGCGGCGATGGCGCATGATGTATGGGTGGGTGGAGCTGTTCTCGTAGCTGGACAAGTACTGAAGGGAAAGCAGCTTCTCTGGATACTTTTGCAGCAGATAGACCCAACACGGGATGGTGCTGCAAAGATAAAAAAAAATGCTTGTACGTAAATACATTTCTCGATCAGAGGATGACGTCAATGCTCACCCCTCCCCCACGCCGATGTTCATGTCTTGCTTCTCACGCGTGTAGATATCTTCGCAGTCCTCCAGGTTGTCCAGGGAGTTGAGCATACGGTCGTCCACCTCGTAGATCTCACCGGTTACATAATAGCCAATGCCGGGCTTGTTGAGGAGGAAGGGAATGTTGTAGCGCGTGGCAATGACCAGCGGCAGCTTCTCTGTGGTGGTGGCCTTGCACCAGAACTTGGCAAATCCGTTGCTAGAACTGGCGAGGATCGAGTTGCTCGGCTGACCGTACTTCAGAGCTCCGTAGACAAAAAGTTTGCTCAGAGCAGTTGATGCTTTCTGTGTGGGTGTGGCGTCGGCGGAAGAGATAGACAGAGCAGAAGTAAGGTTAGGTTAATGATCCGATATTCAGCGTGTATACAGGTGTGGTACCTATCCGGGACTATATTCTACTTTATTAATATCGAACACTTTGTCTAGCTTATCACTGATCTGAGTATTTTCCACTCATGAAAGGCCCCCTACTAACTTGCTGATAACGCGCGACACACGAGCCACACGTCTGCGTCTCGGTCTCCTCAGTTATATTCGGTCGTATTTATTTATACAATTTTTGCCGCGTTGTTCTGCTGCCCGGAGAAGAGACCGTACGGGGATGATTGCTTAAACCGGTTTGGTGCATTCACACTTTTTTTTGTGTTTGTTATTGCCCATTCTGTTATTATGGCTAATAGTTGCTTTTTCGGTGGCCGACGTGCGTTCGTTCCTCTAAAACTGCGCAGCAGCTACGCCTCCATCAAAAAGAACATACATACATACATACATATGTACATATGTATGTATGTATATAGTATATTTATGTACATATGTGCGCGTGATTAGGTGCATAAATAATTGCTTAAATCGTTTAATCATTTCTGTAAATGGAAACCACACGCTATCGCTAGACAACCTATTATCCGGCCTTCAATCAATGTCATTACTAAATGAACCGTTGCATTGAGGCATCTGCTTACATAACTCTCAGAACAAACGCACACATACACCCATATAAGGAGATAAAATTCCCAGATAACATTAAGAATATCACTTTTCACGAATTGAATTAAAATTTCATCTTGAATTGAAGTTTTCCCACGCTTTTATCCTTTTGGGGCTGCCAACTTGCCACAGGATAATAGGATACGCATACATGTGAAGCATGTGAATTTTGAGTGTGTTTGTGTGTGCAGCGCTCTCTCTCTTTTACGTACCTTGACTTGGCCCATTTTTTGCTTTTATGGCGTTTCTTCTTTTTCAGCAGGCTGCCTTAAGTTAATTAAAATTGCAAATTGCTGCAGTTGGCAAGAGAGACAAAAAATATACGCTCCTCAGGATATGAGGAAATAGCTCCAGCTATAAAATTGGACCGCGCCGTTGGAAAGCAAAACTCCAACTAAAACGCGACGGAGAACAAACGGAACACAAGTGGTGCTGCCGCTTTTTGTGTTGCTGCTGGCGTCGACGTTGGGGCCCGGTCGGTCCCCTTCCAACAACAAGAAATATGAAAACACGCCACACGCGCGCCTTTAAAGACGCCAACGCCGCCGTCGACGTCGCTGCTGATGTCAATTCTTAGCTTTAGTCTTTATCTAACAAATACCCTGTGATTTAGTTCAAAACTAGTCCTATTTTAATACACATTTCACTTTTTTTTTGTTTATTATAAATTGGTCTTATCGGATAAACAAGACAAACGCCTACAGGCAAGAAGGTACATGTGTAGCTATCCCTTTCACTCTGCCTGAGCGTAGGGGCTTCCATGGAAGTCTATCCCCCTTTATTAAAGCGCAACGAATATTATTTCCACAGCTACGCCTCTGGAGCGCACGTACGCATGTTTTAATTTTCTCAGCTTTGCTCTTGTTTCTTCTGTCGATCAGTGGTCGATTAAAGATATCATTAATTCAAATTTTAAGGCGACGGACGGGCCTTCCTTCCATGTTCCAGAAACAATAACAAATTCGCCATATAATTTTCTGTTGAATACGCTCTCTATATTTCTCTCTACCGCTCTCAATCTTGTGTGTGCTCACCATTTGGATGCCCTACAATCATGGTCGTGAGGCATACAGCATATCAGTTCGAAGAGTCCCTCGAAAAGCATTCAACAGATGTTTATTTAAACGAAATACAAATAATTTAATTATAGAATCTGCAATGGTAAATTGAGAAAAATTCGAACGAATGACGTCAGCAGCAGTGTGGGACCTAAAACAGACCCAGACGACTGCAGCTCTCTGTCCCCAATGTTAATAGTCTTTGGTGCAAAAGCCATTATGGGCATAATGGTGGTGCTTGTGACGGCAGGCGCACATGTTGGGAGAGAAACAGTATGCATGGGGTCCACAGTCGCTGCAGAGGATTCACAGATGAGACTGGAGCGAAGATAAGGATCAATAACTTACTGCTGGCAGATGGGCGTGCACTGCTGCCCGTGTAGTAGGGTGGTGCGGAGTTCATAGCCCTGGGCACAAATGCATGATCCATCGTAGGAACAACGGCCGTGGGTGCATCGCCTGCAGAGGAAACAATTAGAGATCACCTTTATCCGGCTGGAATTCAACTAACCCGTGGCAGGGGTCCAGAAGGCGTGCACCCCTGTGGCGACAACGACGCGAAAGTGCATCAAAGTAGTAGTGCCTGTCCTTCCGGCACACGCATAGATCCGGGGCGGCACAGTACCCACCCGCCTCCCGACAGCCCGGCAGACACTCGGCAGCGCAGACCAGTCCGTCCGGATTGGCCCCCAGATACTGATCGGCACAAGGGCAGTCGCCATCCTCAAAACACACACCACCCAGGCAGACAATGTTGCAGCGTCGCACACACTGCCTGGTGTTCACGATCAGCATCTCGTAGTCGGAGCACAGCGGCGGCGGCTCATTAATCTCCCAATAGCCATAATCGTAGTAGTAGTATCCTTGGACCAAGACGTGCTGGAGCGCCAGTTGAAGGAAGACCGTCCGGCCGAGCATCTTTGACAATTGCAAATGATCTCCTCCATGGCGCGGGTAATGAGAGTGAAAGTGATTTCCGTAGGCGGCGCAATTTGTGTACGGAATCCATTAGTCCCGTTATTGAGGCGGTCACGATCGCCATATGTACACATTACGTCAATGATGCAATGGACAACTGATAACCGCTCGGCCGGAGAGCCTCTCAATCTGAATTACAACAAAACCATTTGCATGCAAACGAAGCCAACAGACGCTAACACCGCATTACTCATCGCAGCAGCTGCTGCTGGGAGCACGGAGAGCGGTGGCGCGGAGAGAACGCGAGAGACAGATCCAACTCCGACATGTATGCACACCCAGCGAGCGCTAGAGATAGAGAGGGAGACCCAATGAGAGCGCAATTCTGGAATGTCTGGATTCCACACTCTGGCTGGCTCAGTGGCGTCTCCGCTCTCACCCCCACCCCCACCGCATTCCCTGCAACTGGGGACCCCGGCTCCGACATCGACTCCAACTCCAACTGTAGCTGCAGCTGGTTTGAATGCGCCCCATTCATTCAGTCTTTTGGGGTCTGAGAGCAGTGTTGGCCTCCCAGTCCCGATCGGGCAACGGCAACGATAAAGACAAAGTTAGCGGCTCAACAGAGACGGCGACGCCTGCGTGAACGGAAGTTCAAAGTGTGGCACAAAGTTGCAAAATCGAAGGCAATCGGTGATCAGAGTGCGAAATCGGATTCGTATCGCGAGTGGCGGATTGGTGAACAATAAAAGTGCAAACGCATCAGACTTCTCTATTTTTTGTGACTTTTCTTCTCCACCCATCGACGAACGAACCGCTTCAATTGCAATTATAAATTGAATGCTTGATTCTCGCTCTTTCCCACTCGCCCCCTCCTTCATTCTCATAGTGCTTGCGTGTGCGTGTGTGCCTTGTGTATGGGGTGAATAACATAAAACAGACAACGGGCGAAAGCATAAAATAAACAATACCATTTCGGGCGGTCAGCTGGGAGGAAGTTCTGGCCCCAGCGCTGCTGGTGGTGGCACAGCGGCAGCGGTGGTGGTGGGTGTGGGTGTGGGCCTGTGGGATGTGCCCGTTGTGGAAGTGCGTGCTCGCGCAAAGCTAATGCTTAGAGTCTATTATGTATCCGGCAAGTGCTGACGCGTTCTGACTTCGCCACCGGACAATCTCTGAACTCTGAGAAATCGAATCATCAAAAATGTGTTACGTTATCATCACAAGCGGCAGTCTAGTCTGGTTCCTCTGCACCCTGGTTGCTGACATGCTCATAGCGGCGGCACTAGTCACGCCCAGGTGGCTGATTGGCCCCGTCCAGCCCGTGGATGAGCTCTCCTCCGTTTCCAGCCAGCGTCAGTCCTCCGTGGGCATCTACACCCGCTGTAAGGTGATGCACCAGGTGGGCTACCACTGCGGACGTTTCGACCTAGATGGACTGGCCACAGACAGCAGCGTCTATCCCAGCGAGTGGAAGGCGGCCATGTTCTTCATTTCACTGGGATTCGCCCTGCTATCGGTCACGGTTCTACTCACTTTGCTCACCTGCTGCCGTCAGTCGGCATTCGGCAAGAGTATCCACAACATGACCGCCTGCGCTCAGGTGGTGTCAGGTAAAGACGTGCTCCAGAAGCTATATCGAGACGATAGTTTTTAAGCTTTCATTCCAGGAATCAGTGTTATGTTGGCCCTCTTCCTCCATCCCCTGGGCTGGCGGGCCACTCGCGTCCAGCGGCTGTGTGGTCCGGAGGCAGAACCTTTCTATCCAGCCGACTGCAGTATAGGTACTATATTGGAGACTCCGCATATGCGTAGCTAAAATTAACCCATTCCCCCTAGGAATCTCATTTTACTGCGGCGTTATCGGCATACTCCTCACATTCGCTGCCGCTGGCATCAGCTTAAAGGCGGAGTCCTCCAACATGCGCACGCGCGTTCGTCGACGCGTCGAAGAGGGCAGCAAGCTGGTCTGCATTCCATAGCTGTAGCTGCCCCAGAAAACTGAGAACTTTCATTAAGCGGGAATACTTAACATCATTTTCGAATTTACTGTAACTTTTTTAGCATAAATAAACCTCTAACATTTCTACAATATAGTGTACAATATCTGCCGAAGTGCCATGCTCCCCAACTGCTTCTATTTGTTGCGTTTGCCCTTGGCTTTGCCTGGCGGTTTGCCTACAACATCCGGCTGGGCCTTTGGGATGTAGACGCCGTGGTTTGTCTTCTTCAGATGAGCAAACAGTTTGTTCTTCGAGTCAAATACGAGGCGACAGGTGACGCAAGTGTGCTGGGGCTTTGTCGGATCGGCGTCGGGATCTTCTCGCTCCTCACTGTTGACTACGATTGCTGGTGTAACTTTGACTTCCCTTGGTGGATCGGACACTTGATCAGAAGACTTTCCCTTGTTGGTCGCAGACTTTTTGCTTTTGCTCTTCTTGGTTGACTTTTTTCCTTTGCTCCAGTCGTCTTCAGATTCGCTTTTGGGTTGGTTAAGCTGAATATGATCATCGGAGACATCGCTGTCCTCTTCTTGCTGTTGCTTTGCCACAGCTTTCTTTGACTTTTTGTTCTTCTTGTTGCGTTTGATCGCCGCGGACTCTTCTTCACTAAGCGCCTCTTCCACTTGGGTGTCCCCCAGATTATCGCTTAGATGTATTTCATCCAGTGTCTCTTCGACATCATTGAGACTATCTTCGGGAGAGGCATCATTGAAGGCCTCCTCCTCGGCCTCCATCTCCTGGCGCAGACGTTCCACATTGTCTCGGTGCTTTTTGCTCTCCTCGTGATTGGCTCGCGCCTTGGCATTTTTGAATGATTTGTTGCAGGCAACACAGTACAGGTCGTCCACATATTCCAGTTCATACTCGGTTTCCTCGGCATCCAAATTGTCGTCGCTATCTGCCTCAGAGCAGTCGCTATCTTCTTCTTCTTCATCCGTGTAGTCGTCTGAGTCGCTGCCGTAAGCCTGTTCCAGTTGCCTTAGCTGCTCTTCGTAGCCCTCGTTAAAGACTTTGTTCTCCTTGGCGGCGGCTAGCTCCTCTTTGCGTTTTCGCAACTGCTCACGTCGCTTCTCCTCCTGCTTCAGGCGATTGGCCTCGGCTCGCTCCTCCAGTACACGTCTATAGGCCGCAACGCGGCGATCCCGCTTGCGCACAAAGCTAACCAAATTACGAATCTGAACAGAAAAAACTTGTATAAAACTGGAATTTCTCGAGAAACGTTGGGATTCGTTACCTCTTCGTTGCGCTCCTTGCGGGCACCTTGAACAATCTTTTTCATTTCTTTTTCTACCTTGCGGAGGATGAAACGTTCCTTGATCTCCCTCACATCGTACGGGCACAGCCATTCGTATGTTTTTTTGGTGGTATAGGCCGTCCAGTAGGCATAGAACGGGCCCACCACTTCCTCATAGTTGCTCTCCGAATTGCCGAAAGCCGGTGCGCAGCCCAACTCGTCATCGCTCTCCATGAACTCGATGTCCTCGGAGGCAATCTGGACGAACACATCGGCATAGACTTTGTAGAAACCCTTCGCATCATCGCCATAGCCTTTGTAGCAGGAGCTGGTGAAGTATGGGAACACATCCAGGCAGTTTTCCGAATACTCGGAATTCTTTCCCCGCAGAATCTGCTCACGGTGGTTGTCATACCAGGAGCGTTCCTGCGCGTCCGAGAGCACCTCATAAGCCTGTTGGATTAGTTGAAATTTCTCCTTGGCCTCAGCCAAACTTTCTGGATTCTTGTCGGGATGCCATCGAAGCGCTAGTTTGCGATATGCTGTTTTGATGTCGCCATCGTTGGCGTCTCGTTGCAGCCCGAGCTCCTCGTAGTAGCAGCGCATCTTGCCAAAGGTTATTACGACTCTTTAGGTTGTTCAAAACCTTAAGACCACGTTTACAATTTAGAAACAGCGCATTTTCGTAGTTAGACGAAATTAGATTTCTGATTTATATGTATATATATACCGTCCACCCTCAGAAATATACCGTCTCATTTAAAAAATATACCGTAAATATACTGACGAATTGAAGTTCTATTATACATTTTCCTCGATTTTGATCTTCCGTCGAATATAACTAGCTATATAGATCTCTCAGCTTTGCCCACATAATTTTATCCGATTAGTGAATTAATCTACTAAATGACTGGCTTATTTTAAGGACTCCTCTTTTTTGTATTGTGTCTAAAATTACTCACCGACTCATTTTTTCGTTGCATGTGTAAACAGCTGTTGCTCATGAATGCGTTACATCTAAGTGCTGCAAAACGATGCGATAAACAAACAATATAATAAATAAATTGCATACTTTTCAGCTTGAACAGCTAAGTTTTCATTTCAAAAATAATTTTCAAAATTCTGGCAGTCATTAAGTTGCAATCATAGAAAGTCCATAAATTTTTTAAACTTACAACGGAAACCTACTGTGTACTCTGCTGCCACTGCGCTGCGCATTCCTTCATTAGCTTTTTTTCTTCGGCGGCAACGGACGCTCCTTTTCTCTGTTGCCGCACAGCATTCGTTCGCACGCTTTTCTCGCTACCACCACAAATATACATACAATACATAACCGTTTATACATATAATAGAAATAAGAAGAGGAGAAGATAACTAAGCACATACCAATACATAAATCATATAGAAAAGTTTAATAAGAAAGAATTTCGAGTGAAAAAGTACATATGTATATACTCAGTAGAAACCGCAGTGGTTTTTTCTCTTTGGAAGTATTCTGCTTTTTTAAATATAATTTGCCGAGAATATTTACAAATAATTTGCATGAAATGAACATCTTGACTCAACCATTGCCAATCAACAATAACAATTCACATAAAGTGCCAAAATAACGTTAAACATTTCAGTCTGCAGCAAGTGATGGGGGGGAGGGGGAGAACGGAGAGAAATAGCTTGACATAAAAATTCACAGTTACGTCGGATTTACAACCCGTCGTCAGCCGAGCGAGCTGATTTCGGCGGGGGAGGTTGCCAAAGCACACAGACAACCCACACAAACACACGCACGCATACAGCTACTCCAGCGCACAGCACGAAGCGAGGAGTGGAGTCGCAGTCGGAGTCCTTGAAGCACCGTTAAGCAATAGAGGAGGCCAGGAAGCATCTCAGCTCACAAACCACCCCAAATACCGTGGCCCAAACCGTTGGGTGCGTCGTTATTCGGCCTGAACGTGAAAAAAAGACCCGCCAACAAAAAAATAAACAAGCGAAGCGTCGAGCTGTCTGTCTGTGTGAACGTGAATGTGAATGCGTGTCTGTGCCATCGTATAGATTTACCGTTGGTCTGCCTTTCATCTCGCGTGTTGGTGTGTGTTTTTCTGTGCGCCGCCATAAAAACAGACGTAAAAGGAAGGAAGGAAGGATATTATGAGGCTGCAGACAAAGATAGCCGCATTTGCGAATAAGGTAATTTCGCATAAAATTCCAACACACTTACATTTGTACATACGTACATATGTATGTATGTATGTATATAGGAAGCATGGGAATCGCAAAAACTATTGAAATGTGACCCTGCCCTTACTGGAATCCGGGCGGGCTTTTGTGCTGTCATAAATGGATTTTCTTATCAGCCCAAAGTGGTCCCAGGAGGCCGCTCGGCCTCTATTGTTGCAACCAAATTGCATTTGAAACAGAGCACACCCTAATGGCCTCTCCGCACGCTCTCTCTCTCTCTCTCTCTGCCGTTTCAGTTATATCAGCAGCAACAACAGTCCGTCCAATTTTGTTAAGATAGAAGCTAGCACTATGTTTGGATCCAAGCTGCGCTCCTGGATGGAGACGCACATCGTGCGTCCGCGGAAGAAGGGCAGCAAGCACAAGCAGGCGGCCGCAGAGGCTTCGCACAGTAGCGGTATCACCACTGGGAATGGCAAGAAGGCGGGCACACTGCCTCCACAGGGCAGCAACCTTACCAGCCCCGTGCTGACAAGTAGCGGAAGCCACAGCATCGCCAGCCCAGTGCGGAGGCGCGAGGTATCGCCCATACAGTGCCATGTAAGTCGTTTTTTGTTCCTTTTTTGTATGAACGTACCTGATCCGAAGCTCTCTAAATTGTATAGCCTCCCAGTCGTCGGTATGGATGGCAGTCACCAGATGAAGATTCATACGTCATAACATCACCAAAATCGGACAATCTGCTGTATGCCCCACAATGCTACCAACCACTTCAGCAGCAACAGCACCACACCCATCACCTGAGCGTGCCCAACTGCAAGGATATCTCCTGTGCAGAGAAGTCGCCCAGCAAAGTGAACTGTTCCTCTTCGTCCATTTCGTCGCTTTCCTGGTCCACCGGATCTAAGGAGCCCTCGTCGGGCAAGCAAACAACATTCAAAGAGCATCAGCCCAATGGGGAGTACCACATTCCACCCGAAGAGGAAGATGAGGTGGAGTACGAGGAGGTGGGAGCGCTACTGTTGCGCCCCCAGCCTCCTATAACGGACTACCAGCGTCCGCAGTCGGAGAACTTGGCCGACATGCGTATGATCTACGAGAAGGAGAGCAAACCAAACTCCAATCATGTCCGCTATGGCCGCCTGCTGCCCTCGAAGCTAGCTCCTGCTCAACTGGGAGAGGCTGCGGACGGCCTGACCACTGCTCCACCCATTCCTCCGGCTGCTTCCTCTGCATCCGCTGGTTCGAGGATTCGTACACCACGGGGAGTGCAGCGCACTAATTTCATGCCCGGACCACGTCCGCATAGCCTGCCATCGCCAGAGAGCGCCTACTCCACGGGTTACTCCACAGATGGCACCTCTCCATGCGCCGCCAGCAACTACAATCCCCCCGAGTACTATATAAACATGCGCTCGGGTACCCACTACTTTCCCAAGAGCATCAACTCGCTGGCCATCGAGGCGCAGCGCTACAAGTTCGGCTTGAATCGCATCGAGGAGATGTCACCTATGGACCCCTTGCCTAAGAGCAACTTCGCCAATGCCATTCACGGCCTGGAGTCGTCGCCCAATCCCCTGGCACTTCGTCAGCAGCCAAAGTTATTTGAATGTGAGTGTAAAATGTTACGTTTTGGTCAGATCCGATGTTGGAGAGCTCCCCCTTTGAAACGAGACCCACCCAACAACAAACTGAGCAATTAACCCATTTAGAGTCTCGGCTCAACTCAAGTGACATCGCCTTCACATGACGGCCATTTCCCATCCCCAATTGCAGCTCCCTCGCCGAGACAGCGCTGTCGCATAAGGACCAATCCCTGGTACAACACGGCCGAGCATTTGCCACCCTCCTCCTCGGCGCCTACGCGTCTAGAGCTGGATGCCACGAGCACCACCTCCACCACATCGTCGGGCATTAAGTCGGGCAATGAGCTGGAAGTTCCGGCTGCCAAAACAACAGCAAAAACAGAAACGGTAAAGGGATCAGCATATGCAACCACCACCAGCTGCAAAGGCACTCCCAGAAAGTCAGCTAGAGTGGGTGTGGAGGGTGGTGTTGCACCTGGTGGAGTTGCTTACGAGTCCTCGGAGGGCTCTTCGTCGTCGACTGAAGTGGAAAATCTGCATGCCCCACACACCATAAAGCGGCGCCACTTGGAGCACGTGGAGACGACAACAACTTCGGCCCCGGTGGCTGCTGGCGGTGGAGCTGGAGTAACCACCACCTCCTTTATGCTCAGCGATGATGAGGCCACACTCAACGAGATGATTGGCAAGTTTGACGAGAGCTACATCTACGAAAAGGAGACCGACATACTCAGGTGAGTCGCAGTCCCAGTTTCAGTCCTCCTTTTAGTATTTTTTGTCCATTAAATTCCTTACCTTACCTTACCCTTTGTCCTGCAGCAGCGACTCTGATCCCACAGATGACTGTGCCTCGGAGCTGGACACCGGACAGGATGCTGGCGATGAGTGTGACACGGATGAGTTGCTGGACATCGACTTTATTGACACCTCATCCATGCAGGAGGTGGTCCTCGACCGCCAAGATCTGGCCCGTAATCTGGGAAGCTGCCAGTACTACTTCAATGAGCCCATCAGTCCCTTGATCAAGCGCAAGTCCTCGACCCGCTCCCGCCGGAAGAGCGGTCAGGAGTCAGCTGATGGTTCGCAGCAGCGACGGCGTAAGCGCTTTCTCAAGACGCGCAAGAAGAGCTGTGAGAACCGCGAAAAGCTTCCGGCATCTCCTCTGCGTGAGCCTCGTGGTTCCCGTAGTGTGGGTGGAACGCCAGTCTGTCTGCGTCGTAAGCTGCTAGGCCCCAAGGAGAGGTATGATGGTCAAGTTACAGAACGGCTTGTATATTATTTTAAATATGCTTCTTTGATTGTCAGGATCTATAAGACGTCGCCGTTCTCGAATCGCTCCAATTCGATGATCTTTGGCAGCATCACTGAGAAGACCTCGCTGACCATTGCCGAGAGCGAGAAGGCGCTGCTTAAGGCTGACTTAGAGGCTGACATCAAGTACAAGCAGCTCATCATGGAGGCCGAACAAATGCTGGAATCAATGAGAAACAGCTTGCAGAGGTGTGTAACGTCTACAGATTCTAGGGGATTGGATACTAACCAATCAAACATTTATAGTATACCCCGGGACACACCCGTCGCCAGTCCGAGGCGCGTGAATCCCTTGGCCAATAAGCGCGTGGAAATGCTCAAGCACAGCGAGGTAGACTCGAAGAAGCAGCCGGCGCTACCGGCAACTCCTCCGTCGGAGCACGAACTAGCCGCCGCCATCAATAAACGTATCGAGATGCTGAAGTTTGCAGAGAATTCTGCGGCGTCGTCGCCACCCAATAGTCCCAAGCCCGGCCGCTGCAGTCCCCGGAAGACTCATCTCACCAACTTCATGAACCAGAATGCTCCGCCCGAGCTGCCTCCGCGCAAAATAAACGGCAACCCACCCATTGCTCCGCTCTCACCGCAGCTGCAGTTAAATGG